ACGTACAGTAAGTCCAGCTATTTTGTTTTCGGGGAAAAGGCTTTTCAGCCAATTTCCCGTTTCCTCATCAGTGCAGTACACAATTGCGACACCTTCTCTTTCCCAGACACCGTTGAAGGTGGGTGCTTTCACCCCGTCAGGTAACGCCAGAATGGCCCTCTTCAGGAGTTTCTTCACCTCCGTTACCTCTTCAGTGCCCAGTTTCTGATCCGGATATGAGTCCGGCATAACTGCAAACTTGAATGAGCTCGTAGTGTTCTGAGCATATGTGCCCTGGTCCTGCATTCTCTTTTCTTTCGGTCTGACTGAGGGGCTTGGCGTAGTACGCTCTGATGGAAGGCGTTTTATTGCCTTCCTCGTAGCCCCCTCCCCCCTTCCCTCATCGACCTTCGCTGCTGCATCCGTCAAGGTTGCAATCGCCCCCGAGGTTTGATGCAGCATCGCTCTCTTGCGACGTCTTCTCTCGGCTCCACTCAGTCTGACCCGATTCACATCGGTACCAGACTGGTCAGCCTTCTCAGACTTCGTGTGTTCGCCATCGCTGGCCCCACCCGAAGTTGCTTTTTCAATATTAAGATTTTTTAAATTGGTTTCCATTTTAGTCCCACGAGTACCGCGGTTAAGCGTTTTCACCTGGTGCCTTGCCGCGATTGCTCAGGGCTTGGCTTGTCTCGGGTGGGTTACACCCGAGACTACTCTCAGAGGTCGCCCAGGTTTCTGAGAGGCACCGTTAGCGACACAGCTCCCCCTGTGCCACGCATCCTTAGGCACGGTATGGCCGAGGCCATGGCTTACGCCGCTCACACACATGGATTGGGTGGACTCCTCTTAGCGACCGCGGGCAGCGGTAGTCCTTAAGACCTCCACCGCCCGCGACCGAGCCCCCTCACTACGACAAAGTGGGAACCCAGTAGAGGGGGCTGTTCTTACTATACTTGACATATTAATATTCTGTCCGATACCTGCCTCACACTTTTACCATAACATTACGTGGTATCATCGATACTTTGCGTGAAAATACTTTGAATTATTTTTTTTCGATTTTACTCCGAGACTTGGTCGATACTTGGCTTTGAAACACTGCGACCGGTGACTGTCTCATTTTTGTTCGATTGATTGACGAGGTTCTTACGATACTTGCCATTTAAATATTCTGGCCGATAGCTGCCTCATAATTTTACCATAATATTACGAGGTATCATCGATACTTTGCTTGAAAATACTTTGAATTATTTTTTTTCGATTTTACTCCGAGACTTGGTCGATACTTGGCTTTGAAACACTGCGACCGGTGACTGTCTCATTTTTGTTCGATTGATTGACGAGGTTCTTACGATACTTGCCATTTAAATATTCTGGCCGATAGCTGCCTCATAATTTTACCATAATATTACGAGGTATCATCGATACTTTGCTTGAAAATACTTTGAATTATTTTTTTTCGATTTTACTCCGAGACTTGGTCGATACTTGGCTTTGAAACACTGCGACCGGTGACTGTCTCATTTTTGTTCGATTGATTGACGAGGTTCTTACGATACTTGCCATTTAAATATTCTGGCCGATAGCTGCCTCATAATTTTACCATAATATTACGAGGTATCATCGATACTTTGCTTGAAAATACTTTGAATTATTTTTTTTCGATTTTACTCCGAGACTTGGTCGATACTTGGCTTTGAAACACTGCGACCGGTGACTGTCTCATTTTTGTTCGATTGATTGACGAGGTTCTTACGATACTTGCCATTTAAATATTCTGGCCGATAGCTGCCTCATAATTTTACCATAATATTACGAGGTATCATCGATACTTTGCTTGAAAATACTTTGAATTATTTTTTTTCGATTTTACTCCGAGACTTGGTCGATACTTGGCTTTGAAACACTGCGACCGGTGACTGTCTCATTTTTGTTCGATTGATTGACGAGGTTCTTACGATACTTGCCATTTAAATATTCTGGCCGATAGCTGCCTCATAATTTTACCATAATATTACGAGGTATCATCGATACTTTGCTTGAAAATACTTTGAATTATTTTTTTTCGATTTTACTCCGAGACTTGGTCGATACTTGGCTTTGAAACACTGCGACCGGTGACTGTCTCATTTTTGTTCGATTGATTGACGAGGTTCTTACGATACTTGCCATTTAAATATTCTGGCCGATAGCTGCCTCATAATTTTACCATAATATTACGAGGTATCATCGATACTTTGCTTGAAAATACTTTGAATTATTTTTTTTCGATTTTACTCCGAGACTTGGTCGATACTTGGCGTTGAAATACTGCGACTGGTGACTGTCTCATTTTTGTTCGATTGATTGACGATGTTCTTACGATACTTGACATATTAATATTNGTTAGCTCACACTATATACAAGTAATTCTCATTCCTCCGTTTTAATCCTATCAGCGCCATCTCCCATGTATATCATCAACTGACTTCGTCGATAGGGAAGACTAAGTTGACAATATCACTACGTTTCACCCTCTTGTATTTACGTGTTTGTTCAGTTGCCGAATTTACCAGATCTGTGCTCAGTTGCGGATGTGTTCAGTTGACTGTGTCCAGTTGCACCCATCCCGATTGACATTTCCAAGTGTTCCAAGTATTATTTGGAGTTGATTTTTTACAGTAAAAAAGCAACATTTTGTTGAACAATGGCTGATCCTGAGCTTGAGGCTCTCCGTAAGCAGCGGCTGGCGCAATTACAGTCACAACAACGGGTAAGAAAAAATTTTGTAAGAATGATCACTACAACAAACCGCCTTCTACTTTTCTGCTGATAATTAATTTTTATGTAAAATTGATTATTTTCAGTCTTTTACACTGTAATTTGCTAATTAAAAAGTAGAAACTTTATTGTTTTCATTATTCAATTTAGAGGATTACTCGAATATTTGCTCATAAATGGAGGAAAAGATATAATTGGAGGTTATGTGAATGATGAATTCAAGAGCATGCACTTTTTAATTTTTCGCTTTTATTTATTGATTAGTAATAAAGTTCTCACAGCCACGGCCAATTACATGACTAAAACTATAGTTTATCCAAATGTAACTGAATTTGTAAGGTTCTATTTCTTACACAATGATACCGTAAATTAAAATTGAACGTGACAGTGACCAGAGAAATATAAGTCTAAATCATTTCTGGAGTAGGTACGTCAGTAACAGAGTTTTAGCGCTTTATACGTATTTTTCATGAATGACTCAAATGAACCATTAAACTCGTCCATATGACTTTAACGATCGAACAATAAATTCACCCCAACACTTGCTTGGTGGGTCGGAGCAAGCAAATGTAAAAACGTGCAAATTACTCAGAGATAATGAGAGGGGAGAGAGAATTTGGTCTAAAAACCATTTGTCCAATGATTTTTGGTCCAAAATTACTTCATCCAAAAATACATTTCACCCAAAAATCACTTGGTTTAAAAAACATTTTGTTCGCTGTATTATACATCCCATTCGACCTACATTAGAAACTAAAGGAGCAATGATCCGAAAACTGCATATATAAACCCACTATAAACACGGGTAAAACCCGAGGAATCTCAATCCAATTATTCCTTAATAACGACACCGATCCAGAATAACGTGCACACGATCAGGATCCAAATCCAGTCCATCAGTGAATTTATAAATAACATCAGAGACAAAAACAAGAAGGGGTTCGAGCCTATCCGACGGAAGGCACGTGGCCATTACTTTTTGCGTCATTAGTATCTTTCTTTTTTTTATTTCCACCAATTTTCTTTGGTAGTAAGCTTACCACATGCTACCGGGTGTCTACAGGAAAACAAGGTAACCACATGCTATACCGGGTGTCTACAGGAAAATATTCAACCTTTCAATGAAAAAGATGTATACAAAAGATTAAATATCTCCGAACCTGCTCGGTTGCTTGCGCCTATCCAAAATACCAACTTTCAGTATTGCTATAATCATACAAAATTTCAACTTGCTATCCCCATTTTTTTTCAACTTATCGTGTGTACAAGAATCACAAAAAGTTAAAAACGAAAAAAAGGGATATCTCGGAAACGTTGTATGAACGAATATATATATTTTGATTGATCGAGATAATGGCTGCTGAGACGAATATTTTGAAAAAACAAATTGAAATCCGTCAAGTAGATCATGAGATATATGAAGAAACATGTTTACACAAAAGCTTGCATATCTCAGGAACTGCCCGACTAATTGCGCCTATTCAAAATCTCAACCTTTAGTATTATAAGAGCTAAAACCATACCAAATTTCAACTTGCTATCTCCTTTTTTCTCAAGTTATCATGCGTACAAGATTTTTCATGAAAAACGGAAAAACGGCAATATCTCCAAACTGCGTATTAAAGAGTCTACATAGAGGCCAACGAGACGAGTATTTTTAAAGAAAAAGTTTTGAAATCGGTGCGGTAGTTTTGGAAATATTGAGGAAAAACGAAATTTAAATAAGTTGTTATATCTCAGGAATTACTGGACCGATCGGGCTGAAACAGGGCGCCAAAGTTGAGCTCAATAATAGCTACAATGAGCCAAAATTTCAGTTTTTTATCTAAAAATTTCACCGTATTTATGTTGAACTTTCTTAAAATTAATCACCAAAAACCGAAGTTGTCGGATACACATGACCCTAAAAACATCATTTCTTCACATTTCATAAGAATTATGAAAATGTCTGGACCATTTGCAATCAGAATTAGAAAAACGAAAAATCGGTCAAAAGCAAGACTTATTCGGAAGCAAAAACACTAAAGATAGGACTTTATAAAGTGTTCCACATTTTTTGACGTGATTTTATTGATTTTGGAATAGGTAGGAGTAGAACTAGAAACATTCTAAATATTAATTTGCAAGAAAAATCTGCTGAAAAATATGGATAGTAAATAAATTACATGATTTCATAAATAATTTACATACATTTTTTACGTGATTTACCCGGATGCATTTTTCTTTAACCATTAGACGAAAACAAACCCGAGGAATCTAAACTGAACCACCTGAATCATCTTTGATTAGACAAGAAAATGGACGACAAAAAATTGGACTAAAAGCATTATTGGACGAACTGACCTTACACGATAAGTAATTGGACGAAAGAACTTCGACCAAAAGTACCGGACCTAAATGAAAATAGCTCAGAATAATCTACGGTGGCTCGTAACCCTTTAATTATGAATATAATTACTATTTCTTCCCTTTACAGCTCGAGCACCGTAAATTTGAATTGATTATAAGGTACATTTCATGAGACATACTTTGAGTATTTCGTGCCGCTTCCACTCTAATTGCGTTTATTTTGCAGACGAGTGATTCTAGAATGAAGTGTCAGAGCGATTTTTTGTGTCTGCTGAAATTCATAGCCAAAAATAAGTTTTTGCATGAAACCTACGAGTTTTAGATATATTGCAAAACCATCCTCATGATTTGATGACATATCTACGTACACTGAGAAAAATATTGTCATAATATCACAAAACTAATTTCTTGCGCCAAATATCCCATCTCTTGAGGATAAGAATACTGGATAATAGTATGTCAGACAATGTCAGATTTCGGTGAAGTGTTCATGATTTGAACATGAACATTTCATGACAAAGTGAGAATTTCTTGCCACAAGAAATCGGTGTTTTTGTGTTGTTATACATAAAATAAATCTTTGAATTTCCTGACACAAATAATTTTATTCGTTAGTTAAAAACTCAAATTATTCCTCCCATTCGACTGCTCACCGGATGTTCCCTACAGTCTTTGCACATTCCTCAATTGCTTACCACATATAAAAACTTACACGAATATGCGCGCGTGACCAAGGGATGCTACCTTATTATTTTCGGTTAACTCCATCGAACATGAAATTATAGGTAAGGAATCAGTCACGCCTGCGGAGTCAATCAGAGTAATTCTCCGCTGACTCCTGTCCTCGAAATGAAACTTTTATTGTCAAAAGAGTTTTTGCCAACGCCGTCACCCATCCCTTATTCACGAAAATTTTCTCGAAAGGATTTGGACCGGTACACCGTGCAAGTAAAATTTGCGGCAATATTATTTCGAGTGCAGTAAATCCCATGAACAAACGCGCACATCTTCGTGGTTCGCGAGTTGAAGTGAGCTAGGACTCAGGGTGAATTTGAACGCTTTGGATTATTAAAATAGTATTCTCATTATTAAACTATTAGGACATGTGAAATTGGTTATTGAATTTGTGGAAGAATCGACTCTACATTAAATGGGCTTGGATATCAACGGATATCCATATTAATTCGAATTTTGGACTAGACGTGATAAGGGTGAGTACTTAAGTAGTTTTCGAAAGTTTCTATTTGTAAACTTGTTCGGTTGAAATCATCTATTTATATTCCCAATTTGTATCTCTTCTCCCTCTCCCTCTCAGAATTTGAAAATTGTTAAGAAGGATAAATTCCTATGTAACGAAAACAAAGAAATATTCGATGCATTAGTCCACTTATTATAAGAATTAACTGACGGTCGGGTCTTATGTCTTCGTGCCCGTATAACTTCTTCACTTTTAACTCATTTGATTTGTGTAGTAAAAGTTTTGGAAAACCTTCATACATTAAACCCTAGATCCTCACTTGAATGGACTTCTAATCACTTCTTCTATTGTTAAGAACCCTCTCCAAGTCTAGCTATCCTGGGGGATGTCTATCTTTAAGGTTGGGATCCAAAAGAAAAATTAGGTGGAGGTAATTTCTATGCAGGGAAGTAAGTCATAGAGATTTATTCCATAATTTCGTGCAATCAGACTCCAGTTGTTTTGTCAGTGTCAGAAGATGAAAAATGACTAAAAATACTAAGAGCTTCGATTCAGTGAATTATGAATCAGAGACTTTCATATTGAATGAATAAACAGTTCATGCAGAGGAAAATATTCAGATGTTAAAAAAGACATCATCTCGTCATTTAGTAACTAAAACCTACCATAAATTGATTGAATATGTATGCGATGTTTTTCGCTCAAGAAATGATTTTTGTGATATTATGTCGATTTTTCTCTCAGTGTATACCACTTCGCTATAAAAATCTCTAAATTCTCACACGCTTCAATCCAATTAATTGATCAATTTGTTATTGCCAAGGGAGGTAACAATGCCGAAGATCACGAAGCACAACAAGAGAAACAGCGTCAGATGGAGGACATGAGGAATTCAATCCTAACACAAGTTCTGGATCAATCAGCGAGAGCTAGATGTGAGAAACCACAAATTTTATGCCCTTCCTCTGTTTAAAAATTATATTTTTCATTAATGAAATTATAATAGTGAACACATTATCCCTGGGAAAACCAGAGAAAGCCAAAATGGTGGAAGGAATGTTGCTTAGTATGGCACAGAGAGGACAACTACCTGGAAAACTGGGAGAGAAGGAACTCATTAGTCTTCTGGAGAGCGTGAATCAACAGACACAAAAGAAAACAACAGTCAAAGTATTGATTTCACTCCTCTTCTCTTGTTTCATTTAGCATTTGCGTAAAAAAAATGTCACGCCTTTTTTTATATCTTGTCAAAAATGGAATTATTTAAATTAAGAGTAGTTTTGGAAGGCAGAGTGATAGAATATTCTCAGTTAAAGAATTATTTACTTACTGAAGACGTCTCTTGACATTTTACTCTGGATTCTTTGGAAATAATGACAAAATTGGTACTTTTAACTTATTACTCATCTGATCTATGACTTCATCGTAAAAGTATAGGATCAATCAATTTTTTCTCTATCTCATTCATCATTTATTCCACAACTGTTTCAGTTTGATCGACGAAGAGCAGCACTGGACTCTGACGACGATGATTTGTAGCAGGATCTCTTCGAAAAACTCCAATTGTAAGACTTCAAAATGATGAAATGATTTTTAAAATACCTACGTTATACTTCTCTCTTTTATTAAATTTTAGTTACTCAATTCACGTCACAGATTACAAATGAATCACGATACAAATATTTCAACCATAAATGAATCTCTTTCTCAATCACAAATTTTATATACTTAATTATTAAGAAAGAAAAAATTCAAATGGAGTCGACAGATTCTAGTTGTCGAAGACTTGTGGAGTGACTCAGGTGGAATGCATAAATACTCTCAACAAAGAACAAATACATTAGATAAATACTTAAACAATTCTCATGCACACATTTTCATGATTTTCCTCAATCAAGAGTCTTCGAAAAAACAAAGAAAACTTTGTTCCAGTGTAAAAACAAAAAAATGGCCATACAGTAAGAGAGTCGTAGAAAGGTCAAGTCGATGTACATTGTAATTGTAGAATTATCTCTGTAATGAGTGATTTCTGGAGAAATTGAGAGGAAACCTTATTATAGGAAATCCCCTTTGTCAATAAAAACAGTCTCAATATTATCTCTTGAAATCCCTCATTCTCAAGATAAATGTACAATGTAAAGAATCTCATCTCAAACATAAACCTTTCTACCACTCCACTACTTAATCCTCAGTATTGTCATTGAGATCATTCTATGTAAAAATCAGAAACTCCAGTACTCATTCAACCCTCTTAATCCTTCTTCATGTGACTGCTGTCTTCCTCCTCTTCTTCTTCCTCGTCCCCAGCGTCGAGAATATCAGGACAGCAGACTCCATAACAAATCAACGAGAAAAACAGAGCTGGAAGTCCAAAAAGAACCATCGTCAATATGGGATTTCCCTTCCACATCGAAGCAAGTGTTGTTCTCATCTCGAACCACGACCTGTAGACCTGCACTAAGATACCGCTACCCCCATACCTCGGAGCAGTCTCATTCCTGATGTGTTCCAAGAACATTTCAATGACATGTGGAGTTAATTTATTCGGGTCATCGTCTGGTATATGGTGATGAGTCGTGCTGGTGTTAATGACGATTAAACCGGGCTTTGGCATCTCCATCATTGCAATGCTGTTCACCAGCTCGGGATTCGCGATCCAACCGAATTGAAAGTGATCATGATATCTCTCTCTTTTCTTTCTTATTACAGACTCTACCATGTCACGAAACTCCAGCATGTCTGGAGCTACATCTTCAACTGCATTTTCCTCTACAACTGCCAGTACTAAATACTTATTTGTCAGAAATAATTGGTTTATGTTGCCTCGAGTCACTTTTGGAAACGTAGAAAAACGTTCTGCGTTCACCCAATTGTACACTGTGGCGTTTAGCTTCTCAAGGTCACTGTGATTGTACCCTGTGAAATTGTAATGAACGTTTTCCTTGTAGATGAAGATCGAGGGGAGCTTTTCCACGGGGGCGTGCTTGTCCACCACTGCGGGATGGGTTTGGTAGAAAAATGCGTGGGGCTGGAAAGCATCTGCTGTCCTGTGGTATATGTCCCATAAGTGACCCGATCGTTCGCCTACGTATAAGAAATATAAACCTTGGGAGCTTTTTATCATGTCGAAACTTTCAGTTTTTGTGATCTCTTGCACTGGAGGACCTGTGAGGCGAAGGGAGAATTTGACTATTTCTTCCCGCGTGCGGTCACCGTTGTAGGTGAATTTCCGTTCTCCTTTCAAACTGCGGAAAAAAAGGTGTTTTGTATTTACTGAGCTGATTTTGCTTGTTTCAACATGGCAAATTATTTGTTTAATAGTAATAAAAAAAACCCTCATTACCGGGACTCTGTCGGTCGTAGAGTTATGTTTACGCCAGGAATCTTGATCAAATTTCTGATATTTTGAGCCAAAACTATCCCATATGTGGAAAATGACATCGTTTTTGAAGACTTAAAACAATGTAACATTGGCTGAAATTATATTTTTAATGACGAACGTCAATATCTCTTAAAGCAGAACCAATTAAGTAGGTCCTGTTCAGGCGAACGGCCACGTTATTTTTTGACTACATTTTTGGATTCCGAAAAACAAAAACAAATCACAGTTCGCCTGAAATCTGCCCAATCACAATTCATGAATCTTTAAAGATGGAATGATGGACCTTTCCGCCTTTCTCAACTAGAGAGTGGAATTGAAGATTCCTCTTCAGAATTACTTTCTCGTCAAAGTATTGATCCAATCATGCGATTATATTCAAGACAATATCAGGATATCTTAGGGTATGAAATTAAAAAATCATCTAGCGTGCGATGGCATAGAGTCAGAAAATCATGGAAAAAGTCGAGTTGTTACATTTCTTTGTCTCCAAAATTCCATCGCAGTTTCAGTCCAAAAAATCACAGAATTTTTCTCAAATATGAAAAATTTAGATTTTTCAAGTATGAAAAATTAATGAACATCCATGGAATCTAGTCTTCAACTTAATCTGTGCAACTTTTGAAGGTGGAGAATGGGTTTTTTCTCCAAAAATAGTTTTTATGTTTACCTATTTTCTCTCAAAAAACCTATTATACTTACAATAAAATAGTAGGAAAGCCTCGAATTTTAAAATGTTGAGCAACGGCAGTGAACCTTGTGCAGTCAACTCGGCCGACTCGAATATTGCTGGCATAGAGATTCTGAGCAACATGAGCCCAGATTGGATCTAGTCTCTTGCAGTGCGCACACCAGGGTGCATACATCTATTGAGACAGACAATTCCGTGAGCATTTGCAAATAACATGAACTGATTTTTAAACGAATGAGTTCTTACCATCACAAGCCATTGCCCCTCCTTGTGAATGTCAAGGAATCTGTCACTGAGTTCTATTACCCGAGATGCTGCTGTACTAGCAACAAATGCTGCGAAACCATGAATTATTATGAATCAGCATTAATTGCATTTTTCAAAATTTGGTCATTGTACTAAATCCAGTGAAATACAGTTTAGAATAGACATAAGTGGAACTAATTAAATTAGACTGCCTTAATATTTGTTTTTATTGATCCCTGAATTGGAGGTTAGTGTAAATAACATTTCGATGAGAATCATTGACTAACAATCCATAAAAAAAGTGAAAGTAGAGTCTTGAATGTGAAAAAGAATCAAATATTGTTGTTCAACAGTTAACTTACCACAAAAACAGTTGAAAAACACAATTTTGAGGACTGAGACCATTTCGTAAGTGCCGAATGTGGAAAAAAATCGTGCTCTTTTATTTAATTATACAAAAACCACCTGACCGAACGTCTTAAAATATTTCTCACATCCGCACACTCATCGCCGTACACCTCAGCATTAATTTTGTATTACTAAACTATCAAAAACACTGTAACATTCGACACCCCGTTTGACACATTTTTACAGGGTGGACGCCATTACAGAGGGGGTAACTACCCGGCAGTTTTTGAGATATTCAAAAAAATTTTCATACTTGTATCGAGATACCATCAGCAATACAATTTTCAGGTTTCAACATTTATCATTTTGTTACGAAAACTGCACAATCATAAAATTCTATTCATTATTGTAGATTATATTAAGTATTGAATTTATGATGAGGTTTTAAGATCTAGTTCTGCAATTATGTTGAAGACCAGTGTTTTCGGAAAAAAAATGTCAAGCCCTTTTCTGTAGTCGAAAAAACGTGTAATAATTGAAAGAAGAGCGACATTGAATTAGATTGACGGGGGGGGGGGGGGTATGAAATGCTAAATTTCACTGAAAATTTGATGGAATTCTAAATTTTTCACCAGTAGGAATATGAAAATTTATCCACTTACCTGACTTTTCGATTAATACATGAGTATTCCGAGCCAAATGACGCAAATTGTAAATTATCATTGGAAATACATTTGTTGCGTTTAAACTATTTTGATCTGCACTAAGAGAAAACTTGACATAATATCGCAAAAATCATTTCTTGAGCGAAAAACATCGCATATATATTTGATCATTGATATGGTAGGTTTCAGACAAGAAATCAGTGCTCTTCGGGCCAAGGAGGAAGTTACTAAATGAAAAGGTGATGTCTTTTTTCGAGATAATATTCCTTAAAAGACAAGAATAGTTTGATAAAAGGACAAGAAGATATTGCTTCCCTTCGAACTCAAAGCAATCGAGCGTAAGTGACTGTTATATTTTTTTAATATCTGGAGGTTTTTCTCCGCATACATTCTTTATTCATTCAGTATAAAAGTCTCCAATTCATGATTCAATGAATCAAAGTTGTTAATATTTCTAGTCATTTTCTCATCTTCTGACACGAAAAAACCGATTTCTTGTGGTAAGAAATTCTCACTTTATCATGAAATGTTCATGTCCAAGTCATGAACACTTCACCGAAATCTGACATCGTCTGACACATTATCCGGAATTCTTATCCCAAGAAATTGATCCTCAAGAGATGAGATATTTGGCGCAAAAAATTAGTTTTGTGCTATTATGACCATATTTCTCTCAGTGCGAGACAGACTTTGCTTGGATTTTGACGAGTCTTCTATCGACGATGGATCTCCCCAGACTAAAAAAAATTTTCAGTTTCTCCATGAGGTGGTTCAGCTCAGTTCAACTTCGTGGATAATCTGAGTTTTTCACTTCAATCAATCAAGTATTCGCACAAGCACTAGTTTGATCCGTCGCACTTGAATTACCTGAAAATTATTTTATTGTATGTTATTTTAATGTCTGTACTGAGCACCCCAATCATAGTTTTATGAAACTGTGTTATACTATGTAATTTAATCACACATATGAAAAAATTCAACAGAAAACCTTTGTGAATTCGCTAGAAAATTCTATTGGAATTTTGTAGAAATTCTATGGGGATTCTATTAAAGTTCTAGAGAATTCTCGTTGAAATTCCATTTCCTTTTTGCTCAGAATCTATTAGATATTTAATAGAAAAAAGTCAACAGATTTCGATTTTTCTGTTTGAATTTTTCCCTTGAGCTTTTTGCTATTAAAAAATCTCTATTGGGCACGGATTTTCTAAGATTTTTCCCTTATATGTTGTTTTGTTTTGCATTGCAAGATCCGAGTGACAAAAATTTGGAAAATTCATGCCCGAGTATTCTTTTAGAAAAATTCCACGAGAATATTCATATAGAAAAATCGAAATCTATTGACTTTTTCCTATCAAATAACTCATCGAATCAGCGCCAAAAAACAAATAGAATTTCACCGAGAATTCCCTAGAATATCAATAAAATCCGAATAGAATTTTCCAGCTAATTCGATAAGTTTTTCTATTGAATTTTTTCATAGGTGCACTTTCGAATTCTTTGTTTTTACGAACTCCCTCTGTAAAGGCTGTGTACTCCCCACGTTGGTATTTTTCATGAATAAATTATTCATTATCGATTAAAAATACAGGAATATGTTTACCTTCATATTCCTGATTTTTCTAAATTCTCATGGAATAATTGAACTGCAATGGACTGTTTCCATTGATTTTTTCATGAAATTGTGATTTGTCAGTGACGAAATTCGTCGAAAATTCAGTGAAATTTTCACGTGATACGAATTTCCAATAAGTGTACTAGAATGCAGAATGAAAATGAACTACGACCATTTCATCCATTTTTTCACTCGTTTACTCATTCAATCAATTTAATTATTCAGTAAAAATGTTTTACATGTCAGCCAAAAAAAAGAAACAAACATTAAAAAACTTTCAACACATCCAAATAAGTTTGTCATAAAATTATTGTTCTAATTGAGTTTTGAGAACGTTGCAAAGGATCAGAACCTACTTAATATTGAATAACAACGATACAAAACACTTTCTGCAAGAAAATTCAAGAAAACCAATAGATAGTTCAAATCGGAGATGAAACCCTACCATTATACGCCCTGGACGCTCCTCCATTTTGTTTATTTAAAAGAGCCTTTCATTTTCTACAAAATATACACTAAAAAATAATGAACACAATATCTCGAAGTTCACAAAAACGTATTCTTTCAATGTCTTATAGCAAAAACATTCAGACATTTTATATTGAGAGCCATGGATTCAGCGAAAAAATGTCACGCCGGACGAGAAATAGTTTAGAGCGACGCACAATGGATCCTTCCAAAAATTCGTTACCCTCAGGAGCAATGGTGAACAATGTGTGCAGAAATTCATTTCATTTCAAAATCTGAAAATCATGTAAGAAACCAGAAAAAAATCGAATTCCACCTCATAATTTTTAAATTGATTGATTATGGAAAGATGTATATACTCGCTGCTTGATCTTACGATTTTATGTAGTCGTAATGCTTTTACAGTGAATTGGCATGGAGGCCAAAAAAAAGAAATCGTCACATAATTGACTTACAACTACCTCAAATGGAGTCAATCATAATTGTGCAGACCAAGTATACAAAAATGTATGACAAAATCAGGGAGCATTCAAATATTACGTCACGCGATTAGGGGGTGAGGGGGGTCTGCATTTCGTGACGGCTGCGACGGAAGGGGGAGGGGGCGTTGCTTAGATTGTGATGTCACGCCATATTGTTTTTTTTTTCAATTTCAAACTTCAGGAATGCATCGTTTTGTCATTTAGTCCGTAGGACAGCGTTTCACGGTCGCTGCGCGTCCATGAATCGCGGTCTACGGACAAATGACAAAAAATAATGCCCGTTACCCGGCCGAAAAAAACTTTTCTAGCTCATATTATTGCAATCCTCCCCTTCGGCTCGTGTTGTAAACTCATATTCGCCAGAAAAGTTTCTTTCGGCCTAGTGACGAAATAGTACTATTTTTTATCCGTCCCTTCCACGAAAAGGAATTCGGACATCAATCTAGAAACAAAGCTAAAAATGTGAGGTTTATTATGCATGACTCTGCAATTCGAAAGAGCCAGCAGCGACACTGTGGGTCATGGCAGTTATTCCAAATGTGCGTTCTATGCGAATTGCCGTCAACTGTCAAAAGGAACTTTTGGCAGTCACATGTAATATTGAAGATGACGAAGATGAAGAATGGAGCCATGAAGCGTTCATTGATCAACAACATCTGCTTGTACCAGGGTTTTCAAATAACCTTTCACTCATTTTAACGAAAATTCGTTTGACTTGCTCATGAGACTAATTATTTGAAGATTTTTTTTTCTCTCAAGTATCCAAACGATTTACAAACAGAAATTATTATTTGAATGCTGTGATAATAAGTTGGCATATTCAGAAAGTATCGAAAAAAGAGCTGATTATTCAAGTGCTTTTTTTTTACCTTAAAAAAAATAAATATAAAATTGTTTTCTATATAAAGTAGGGGGGGGGGAAGTCGTTGATTTTGTGACGTAATATGTAAGGGTGGGTTCACGCTTGTGCCGGTCTTGTGACGGAGGGGGAAGAGGGGGTCTAAAATGTCCAAAAATCGCGTGACGTAATATTTGAATGCTTCCATCAGCTCCACTATGTTGGTAAAACTATTAAGGATAGATGTTTAACGTCTCATCTTGCAGCTCGACTTCTCAATCTCTCTCAGGTACGAACTTGATGTCAACATTGTCGTTAACGTATTCCACCCCTTTGTGACTTCATTGCGAATGAGGATGACTGCTGAACTCATCTTCCTCCTCTTCATCATCACCCTCAAGAGTATTGGGACAGCAGATTATATAACAAATCAACGAGAAAAACAGAGTGGGAAGGCCTAAGAGAACAACCGTTAGTATAGGATTTCCTTTCCACATCCCGATGAGAGTCGTTCTTATATCGAACCACAATCTGTAGGCCTGTACAAGAATGCTGTTGCCCCCGTACTTCGGAGCAGTGTCATTTCTGATCTGCTCCAGAAATATTTCGATGACCTGAGGTGTTAATGTCCAAGGATCATTCTCTGGTGTGTGATAATGGGATGTGCTGGTATTCACCACGATTAAACTGGGCCTCGGCATCTCCATCAATGCAATACTGTTCACTAACTCGGGATTCACGATCCAACCGAACTGGAAGTGATCGTGATATTTTTCTCGTTTCTTTTCTATTACAGACTCCACAGTGTTACGAAACCTCAACATATCTGGGGCTACAGCTCCAGAAGCATTTTCATCGATCACTGCCATCACTAAGTACTTATTTGTCAGGAATAATTGGTTTATGTTGCCTCGCGTCACTTGTGGAAACGTAAGGAAACGTTCTGCGTTCACCCAAGTGTACAATGTATTGTTGAGCTTTTCTGGGTCAATCTGATCGTCCCCTGTGAACCCGTAATGTATATTCTCCTTATAGACAAGGATCGAGGGAACCTTTTCCATTGGAGCGTGGCTCTCCACTACTGCAGGATGGGCTTGGTAAAAAAATGCGAAAGGCTGGAAGACATCTGCTGTTCTCTGGTAGACATCCCAGAGATCACCTGATCTCTCTCCTATGTATAAGAAGTATAAATCTAGAAAATTTTTTATCTTATCGAAATTCTCGGTTTTTGTGATTTCTTGTACTGGAGGACTGTTCAGGCGGAGCGCAAATTTTACTATTTCCTCGTGAGTGCGGTCACCGGTGTAGATGCTTGTTTTTTCGCCTTTTATACTGTGCAAGGAGAAAGAAGAAGTGAAAGACATTATTGCGATCGGTATATTCATATTGTGTATTATTCCCAGGGTTATTTTACTCGGTCAAACCTTAAATGTCTTAAGGTATAAATTACATGGAAAGCAGGATGCTGTATACTATCTTTCGACTTTCGAACCTCTATACGAGGGAAACAATCAAATAATGAATGTATTCATCTCGAAGCGATGTAAATTAACCCAGGAATCAGGGATTTTGGAGAAATAAAATACTATCTAATTGTCAAGGATGCGACAGTTCACTAAATATATTTTAGCTTCATCAGGCTCTTGACTCAATCAATGTTTAGTCACGCTATTAGTTAAAATTCTCGTGTGGAAAATTGTCACTTGCATTGTAAAAAGTTGAATACAAAATTATAAACGACATACAACAATCATTGAACGAAGTTCACCCGTCAAAACTCTTCAACGACAACGTCAATCAAATAATTAACTATGCTCAAATTAAAAAATTCGGAGGCCTACGGACTCGAAGTCAGGATGGATATGATCCCGCATCTCCAGTTTGCCTCCGGAATTTTTAATTCGTGCGTTGTTAATTATTTGATTGTTTCCCTCGTATAGAGGTTCGGAAAGTTGAAAAATAACATATAGCATTCTGCTTTCCATGTCATTCTATACCTTAAAACATCCAAAGTTTGACCGAGTAAAATAGCTCTGGGGAAAATACAGAGAATGAGGAAGGAAAAGAATTTTAAAGGTTCATAGCAAGTATTAAATTATTTCACAAATGACTTGTGTTTGTCAATTTGTTAGTCGTTATTACGATTTTTGCGTGCAACAAGAACGGTATAAGATCTATTTTGTATAAAGGATTCTCATAGAAAGTTTTTGTCATAAAATATATTTTAAAAACTTATAATCAAATAAGGGATGTCCCTCTTGACTTTTGTAACCTTGCTGTACCTTGCGACTCTTATGGCCTTATTTTGTAGATTTCTATAGACCTCTTTGTCACAGGTACTCTTATAAGGAAGCACTGTTGGAAAAAAATGAAATTTCAGGTTTCACTGAGAATTCAATGAAATTGCAGACTTTTCACGGGCATAAAGACGAGAATTCCTTACTTCATTTGAATTTCCAATTTACTATGAATATTCAGTGTCGAATTGCATTGAATTTTCAGTGAAATCTGAAATTTCATGATTCATTTCATCTAAATCGCATTCAGTGTCACTGTCCTGAAAATTCAAGAATATATTTACCAGAATTTTCCGGTTTTCTATTCATTTTCAAGGACAAATGGAACGAAAATTTACAGTTTTGTTTGACTTTTCGACAAAATTCTAAATTTTCAATTTCAACAAGATTTCCTGAAATTTCAGTGGAAATTTCCGGAATTTGGCATAGAAAATTCAGACAAAAATTTTTAACAGTGAAGGCCAAATTGCTTCGATCATATGGTGTAGGAATTTCGAAATTTCTCTTGAGTGCAGTAACTCGTGTTACTTACAATAAAATAGTGGGAAATCCTCGAACTTCAAAATGTTGAGAAACACCAGTGAATCTCGCGCAGTCAAGTCGGCCTACTTTGATGGAAGTTGCATCGAGATTCTGCGCGACATGAGCCCAGACTGGCTCCAATCGTTGGCAGTGAGTGCACCAAGGCGCGTACATCTATTGAGCAAATGATTTCATAAACACTTGCAATTATAAATGATAAATTTACATGTAATGTAGTTTTCGCTACCATCACGAGCCATTGACCCTCCTTGTGAGTATCCAGGAACTTGTCATCGAGTTCAATCACGCCAGATGCGGCTCGGTTAACAAAAAATGCTGCAACAATGTTAATAATGTGAATTAAAATTCGTAGAATTTTTCAATATTTATCCTTCAACCTTCAAACGAATGAATTTAATTCAATTAAACAGCATCAATATTGGTTTTTATTCATCGCTGAATCGGAGACTGAAGTAAATGACATTCCAATGAAGATTATCAATAGAGAAATTCTATCACAAATAACGGAAAAAATTCATAGTACTGTTGTGTAATGATTAGCTTACCAGAGAAACAGCTGAGGAACACAATTCGGTGGACTGAGATCATTTCATATATTCGAATGTAGAAAAAATTGTGCTAATTTCTTTAATTATACAAAAAACGCTGATCAAACGGCTTGAAATATTTCTCACATGCACATACTCATCATCGTGCGCTTCAGGATTATTTTCTGGGTATCAAAACTGTCAAACTCATTCTGCCATTCCCCACCTAGCATTCTTATGGAGGGTGGACGCCATTACAGAGGGGGTAAACAACCCTCACCCTGCAGTTTCAGCGGCATTCGACATTATTTTAAATCAGTCCATACGCTAGGGGTCAAAAGGTAATAAGTCTAGGAGTCAACTTTGGCTTTTTAAAAATGTTTTTTGGGTTGTAGAATCCGAATTTGTTTGTTGGTCTTTACCAAACTCATAAATTCAAAAGTTATAAACAACTTAATTATTTAACTGCGCATAACTCCAGAAGTGTAAGCCCCACAACAAAAAAGTCTGTATAGAAAATACCCTTCTCGTCAAGACAAATCCATTGATTTTTGACTTCGAACAATAACGGAGATACAGCTTTTTTCAGCCGGGGCGTGAGCATGCGCCCATGTCACGTGCGGAAACGATATAGTCCATACGCTATATGCTTTTGTCCTGCAAATGAGGTCCACGGCTGAATTTGATTAATTTTTGTCAATTCGAGAGTGTGTGGTGTAAACAATTTAATGGTTTCAACGCGCATAAAGGGATCGTAAGCCCCATAAGAAAAAAATGTCCCCAGAAAATATCTGTGGTGAATTGCTAAACTAGGATAAGTATTTTTTTTCAAAAATACGTTTTTTTTTTTGTTAAATCACTACCCAACAAATTGTGGAACCGATTTGGCAAAAAAAAATTATTTCTAAAAAAATGCTCTCATCCTAGTTTACTAATTCACGACAAATATTCGTTTCGTTGAGACGAATCTAGTATTTTTTACCTTCACTGGATTCGTATTTTACACTCTCGAATTAGTGAACATTACTCAAATTTACTGTCGTAGACCTCATTTTCAGGGCAAAACCAGAGCTAGCATATATTGATTGCATCGTTCTCTGCACACGGAGAGAAATATTCAATACACATTACCGGAAAAAGAACATAAAAATTACGTTTCGAAACGTAGTCCGCAAGCGAAGTAAAATTCAATAAAAAGTGTGAGTCGGGACTGAAATTGTACGAATCACCACGTAAATTCTACGATTAGTTCCGTAAAAATTCACCACTCATCTGGTGAATGAGTGGTGAATCGCTGATTCAGGAATCAGGATGATTCTCCATATTTATATGAACGTAAAATTAGCAGGTCCTGAAACCACTATTGATTCTTTCAATAGAGGCGTTCGACTGATCGGTGAAGCAGCTGCATGCTAATACTAGTGTGGGTGTCGGTAATTATGGTCTATACATCTACATTATTTTATTCATCCAACAGTTTTATTAATTCTTTGGTTCTGACAGAAAAATCGTAAAAATACTATTTATATCCAGCATCAATCAGTACCGTCTCTTGACAGTTCCACTGAATCTTTTTCACGTTGTGTCCCTGATGTCCCTGGTATTGCCTGCTCGTCGCTCGTTACTGTGTGCGGGATGCTAGTAAAATCTTTTGGTTGTTTACGATTTTTCTTCATTTTCTTGGTGTCCTGTTCATATGTCTGCTTTGTACTTTTTGGAAGCCGCTTAACTGCATTTGATTTTCGTTTCTCACAATAGCGATCGGTATTGAGTTTTGTTGCTATCATTTGGTGTACTTTGGACTCCCAACCGGCTTTCAACCGTTTTAAGGGTGCTTTCTGCTGTATTCGCTTTAGAATCGCTGAAATACACATTAGATCGGTTCAAAACAGTATTATTATTATTATTATTATTATTATTATTTTACACGTAAAAGAGATCGCTGAATGATCTTCGAGGGCTCCGACTTCACCTCGAAGATCACCCAGTAAGCTAAGCGATACAAACTAGTCCTAATCGCTCTGCAGCAGTGCTCCCTCTAACTAGAGGGTGAGCTCTACTGCAGTCCGGAATCATGCTGCTTAAGCAGCCGGAGGGACCCAAGGATGACAGCCTTCTGCATCTAGCCAGCCAACATGGAGGCATTTCGCCTACACGCTAGGATCACTTCAAGCGCAGATACAAAGGACTGCTTCATTCCGCCGAGAGAGCCAATGATCAGGACAATGAGCTTGACCCTGAATCCCCGATTCAGCTGACGCAGCTTAAACAGGAGCGGTTGGTACTTGAGCTGCTTGTCCTCTTCTTTAATTGATATATTGCTCTCCACAGGAGCCGAGAACTCAATCACGTAAATGATCTTGTCATCAAAATCGAAGAGGACAACATCAGGCTTCGTCGCAGCGATAGGCCTGATGGTCGCAAACGAGAAGTTCCAGAAAATCTTACACCTCTCATTCACGACTACGGATTCAATATCCCCTGGAGCATGAGGCAGCACCGGCGTTCTGTCTATCCCGTAAGAGTGCCGCAAATGATAATACAGCACCCTCAAAGCCGCATTATGACTTGCCGCACGGGTAAGCCGACAGAAGATGCATCAGAGTTTCTGGGGATTTCTTGCAAGCCCAACATCGAATGTCCGGAACATGCTCCCCCATAACGCGACTTCGATAGACTAGCCCGAATAGAAATTTTAGTACTTGGCTGGTCAGGCCCTGGTCCGCTGTGCCGTAGAAAAGATTCGACCCTGTTACGGTTACCACATGAGACCGAGACTCGATCCGAGACTGGTTTCCACAATGTTCAAGGGACCCCCCATTCCTCCCTCTGTCGTGAGCCGATTGAAAAATCATTATCTTACTACCTAAAGAACCTCTAAATAATCAAAAATAATTAACAAACTCATTTGTTAATTACTAAACCACTCTCGTATCGCTACTCTCGTCCGAGACTCCATCCGAGACTGCTTTCAGCAATGTTTAAGGGACCTTCACATACCCCGTCCACCGATAGACGCTCCAAAAATGTTTTTCTTGCTACTCAAAGCCCTTCTAACTAATCGGAAATGATTAAATAATTAATTTGCCAATTACTTAACCACTCTCGTATCTCTACTCTCGTCCGAGACTTGATCCGAGACTGCTTTCAGCAATGTTTAAGGGACCCTCAATTACCCTTTCTACCTACTTTGGGTCCACAAAGGATTTTCAACTTATCTAATGCACCCTCAATTAATAAACAAATTGATTTGTGAAGGCGCAAACAACTCTCGGATGCACTCTCGGACGAGAGTCTTTACTGGAGTTTGGCGCCCTAACCTCCGAAAATCCGAGAGTCGAATGAGTGTCCATTCCGAGAGTCCCTAGTCTCGGACTGATCCACCAGGGGTGCGATTCAAAACATTTAAAAAAGTGCAAAAAATGAGTCGATAATTTCCTCGCCTCGCAAGATGAAACTTTCTTTGCGGAAGGCATCCGTGAATTACCTAACAGATGACTGAAGGTTATTTAAAATGATGGAGATTATTTTGATGAATAAATGTAGTTTATTTTTTTTCAAAAATGAATTTTTAATTTCTTGCAGTGTCCTAAAACTTATTTGTACACCTAATACAACTATACTTTTCTTTACAACTTTGTTATGAACCTCCCTATTCACTGCTTTTCTCATTACACCTTTCATTTCACTTGATTTTTTTTTACTCACCTGTGACTTTATCGATTTCTTCATCGGTCAATTCACGCCCTTCTTTACGGAGCTGCTCCTTGAATGGTTTCTCGTACAAATTCTCTGGTTGCTCATCTGTCCATATCTGTTTCATCACCAGATTACATCTTCGAGTTAGAGTCTGAGTTTGACTTATCTTTGACAGTTTAGGAATGGGTGCTGAGAAGGTAGAAGTCACTTTCACCTGTTTCAAATACGAATTTCGTTATTTTCATGGCTATATCCATAGCTACCAAACACTCGAACATCATCGACAATAGTAAAAAGCATGGCAGTGACTAGGTTTATAGTTCATTCATTGCATTGCATCAACTTAATCATTCTGCAGGATTGTATACGCTTCCTGCGTTTCAGTACAGTTACTCTTGAAAATTGTGGAGGTAGGATACGCGGAGATTATTGCAATGATCATAAAATCAAAATATATGTTTCGTACCAAAAAAAAATATATTAGAGATTTCTCGTAACATGTCGAATGTCTCATCAATTATCAACAATCTAGGTTTTTATAAAAGTTTTCAAATTATTCAAAGTTTAATATTTCAAGAATTACTCCGGGCCAATTCCCCAATTCTTCGAATCTTGCCAGCTGCATCTAACAATTTGAAACTAAATTTATTTTCCTCAAACAAAAAATCGCAGCAAATCCCTCAACCGTAATAAAATCCATTTTCGAGTTCTTGAAATTTCCCGTCTTTCAAAATATTCTTCGGATTTTTCCCGTCTATTCTAAATCTCTCTGACCGTAATAAAACATTGTCTTTGAAAGCAACATCTTCAGATATTTTACAATTTAATCCGTTTCGTCGCGACGGACGTGTTTTCCCTCGGCTTTGCGACACTCTTTCAAAAGACAACAAAATTCAGCTCGTTTATGATCTAGTCCTCCGCCTCCATTCAATAGCTTTCACCCAAGACCGTTTATGACTTAATCCCTTCCAGACGAATTTTCGGTCGCATCACCTAACGGGTCTCTCTACCTGAGTTCCACGCCACCCCAAACATAACAACACTGAGTTACTCCACGCGGACTCCCCCACTTTTCTCACCTTTGAGGTCAAGACAATTCGGACTAACTAATCACATCACTCAAAATTCATACTTCATCAATCCGAAGATCCTACTCCCCTCCACTCACTAATTTAAAGCTTCAAGAACCACCCCTTGAATTTTCTCCTTTCTAACGAAAATATTTTTCACTTCTCGACACTTGAACTCGAAAATTCGTGAGAGTAACAACCTCTGGAATCGTACGTGATTACAATTCTACGAGACATTCGGCATTCGTTTAATTTTGACGACGCGATAATTATTCAAATAAAGTCTTAATTTTTATTTTTCTCAAACAGTTATTAAGCAAAATAATTCGCGAATTTATTATCTGAGATTAACATTGAAAAACAAAAACATTTATATACGAAAGCATTATATACGAAAACATTTATTAATCGACAATTATGGAAACGATATTTAACCATAAGT